CGTCCCATCCACCCCCGTCGACTACAAACTTATCCGTGAGTCTCTGGAAAAATCGGTGCGCAAACGGTTGATGGCGGAGGTCCCATATGGAGTCCTTCTCTCTGGAGGGCTAGACTCGAGCTTAGTGGCTGCCATCGCTCAGCGAGAGACGCAACGACAACAAGAGCTCTCTAGTCATCCAGTGGCTAACGGGGTTGACGGAGTGTCTTCAAACTCGGGTCTGATCGGTATTGACGATTCTAACGAGCTGTCCACCGTAACTACCCTGCCCCAGCTCCATTCGTTCTCTATAGGCCTCCCCGATGCCCCAGACACTAAGGCTGCGCTGGAAGTGGCCAAATTCCTCGGCACAAAGCATCATGCTTTCACTTTTACGCTGGAAGACGGCCTCAACGCCCTCTCCGACGTCATCTATCATCTAGAAACTTACGATGTCACCACCATCCGTGCATCCACACCGATGTACCTGCTGAGTAGGAAGATCAAAGGCCTGGGCGTCAAGATGGTGCTTAGCGGCGAGGGCAGTGACGAGATTTTCGGCGGCTACTTGTACTTCCACGCAGCGCCGAGCAAGGAAGCCTTCCACGACGAAACCGTGTCACGGGTAAAAAACCTCCATCTCGCGGACTGCCTGCGGGCCAACAAATCTACGTCAGCCTGGGGCGTGGAGGCGCGCGTGCCATTTTTGGACAAGCACTTCCTCGAGGTGTCCATGGGTGTAGATCCGCAGGAGAAGATGATCACCAAAGATCGGATTGAGAAGTATATACTGCGCAAGGCGTTTGATACTTCCCGATGACCCTGATGCGAAACCGTACCTCCCCGATAGCATTCTGTGGCGTCAGAAGGAGCAGTTTAGTGATGGCGTTGGATATGGGTGGATTGATGCGCTGAAGGATAATGCGGAGTTGCACGTTACGGACGAGATGATGAAGAACCCCAAGCCGGAGTGGGGTGATGATGTTCCCGATACGAAGGAAGGGTAAGTTTGACAATGTTATTGTACTGCCCGAACAATTATACATCACGCCAACTGATGACACGTTGGGAATGATACATGAGTGTGGCTAACTCGGGTGATTAATGATCTCTAGATACTGGTATCGGATGATGTTCGATGAGCTCTTCCCGCCATACTGTGCATAGAAGATAATGCGGTGGACACCAACATGGTCTAAGCAGACTGATCCCAGTGGGCGGTATGTACAAACTTTTTCTCCCACCCACTTAGATACCTTGTAGGTATGTTCTAATAAACCGTCATGTGTCCGGCTGCAGTGCGGTTTCAACACATATTGCCAAGTACGAGAGCCTAGAATAAATGCTACGCGACGAAACTACCACGCCCCATTTTTTTTTTTCTTTTTTTGGATCGAAGGTAGAGAGAGGGTCCCTATCCGTCATGGTAGGGGCATATCGTATGACATAGATATACGTTGACCCCTCTCATATGGCCATTATTAACCCTTTCCGTTCTCTTGAAAGTGGCTCTATGTAATGCCTCAGTTTCCTCCTCCTCCTCCTCCTCCTCCT